ATTGACACATTTTTTAATTTTGTTTGTTTCATAAAAAATGACACATATTATGGGAAAAAAATTACTAAATTAAAACATAGTTAATAAATATAAATTATTTCAATTAACTAACTAACACATAACATTATAAATCACGCAAGACCCACTCAAAATCCCTTTATTTTTATTTCGTTCCTAAAAAAATACTCTCTCTGTCCCAAACACCATGCAATATTTCATTTTTGATATGTCTCAAACATCCTGCAACATTTCCAAAATAGAAAATAATTAATTATACATAATCTCTACCCCACATTTTATCCCCTCACATCATCCAAATAAAAAAATAAAGTATATATTTCTCTCTCCATCACATCACCGAATTTCTAAATTATTATACTTAGTACTACCCACCTAAAAACCCGTGCCAAAAATAAATATTGCACCTTGTTTGGGACGAAGGGAGTAAATAATTTTTTAATCTATATTTAAAACTCCACATCTTTTTATAAAATTAGTTTATATTAAGTTATAAATAAAGAAAAGTATTTTTTTACTTGTATTATATAAAATTTTATTATTTATAAAATGATAACTATATTTTTTAAATGCATATTCTAATTTTTTTAATCATATATTAAATTTAATTCAAAATTACCAATATTATTAATTATATAAAATAATTATAAATCATAACTCACTATTATTAATTTTAACACCATTATCTTAAATACCGTATCAAATGTTTCCGAACAAACAAAGTATATAAATAATATTTATGATTAATAATATTTTATAATTCCAAGTTAATGATAAAAATTGTAATAATGTTATATAATTTTGATAATAATTTTGAACTATTAAAATTATTTAAATTTGTGTTATTAGTAACATTTGAAAAATTAAAAGAAACTTAAATTAGTGTATCACGTAAAATATTTTTATTTTCGACAGTTCAAATTTTTTTCATGTGTTCATTGGTCATTTAATTGAAATTGTATTTAAAAATTTAAAGAAATCTTAATATTGAAAATTTTGATATATAAAATTAGATGAAACTAAATTATTGAAAAATATATACGTAAATAATACTAATATTTTTAAATAAAGTTGAATTGTATGTGTATAGATAAATTATTGATAAAGTAATAATGTCTAATTTTTAAAATTTTAGTAATAATTAATTAATTAAAAGTTTAATTATTTTCCTTAGAGGTAATGAATTCTTATAAAATATAATAAATGCATAATAACTTTATTTTTTATTAAATGTAATGAGTATTGTTATAGTTAAAACTGAAAATACGATCATAAAGGTAATGATAAATGTTACTTTAAACGATGCTCTAACAAAATAGTTTAGGTCAAATAAACGATTTTCAAAGAACAGTTTTAAAGAAAAAATACTTATTTTATTTAGAAAATTTCAATTTTATGGGCTGTTTTTATTAATAACAAATTATCTGGCTCAACTCCCTTGCACGGTCATAAAATGAAGATCGGGCATGTGGAAAGGAAACACAGACACTAGCTCGGTTTAGAACAATCACTACTAACCGATTAACTCACTGCCCACCAAACCTTAACCACAATCATTCGAAAAGTTAATCCCCACCTATATAAGAAGAAGTTCTCACCAATCCTTTAACTATACAATAGGAAACACTCGCCCACTAATCTTGAGGAAGAATCCTACCACAAGATTCTCAATTGATCGCACACAGAACTGAAAGGAAAAAGACAATGAGTAGAGAGAGAATCGCGATACGTATGAACAGAATATCTGGAATAATGAAGAGGAGCAGCGGCACAGATAATATCACACCTCCAACCGATATCCAATGATTAGTAAAAAAAATCCTTTATCCAACGGTTTATATTTATTCTTTGGATTTAACTTGTTAGCGGATTGGGCCAAAAACGGGGTCACAGCTTCTCACTTTGAGCTTTAAAATACACAGACTTCAAAACACTTCACTGGCCGAAACCCAACAAATATCAATTAAACATTATTTAGTAAATAATATAGTCAGGGCCGTCTCGAACTTTTTGAGAGCCTTGAGCAAAAACAATATGTAGCCCTATAAACATGTAATTAAATGAATTTTTAAAATAATATCATTGACAAATATAATAATTAATTCCATAAAAGTAAAAATTGTTTTAATTATATATTAATAAAAGTTCGTACGCACAAAGTGCATCATCAATAAAAAATAATTATAATAATTTAACTATTATAAAGATAATAATCCAATAATAATAACAAACTCTAAATGTATAATTGGTTATAGAATCTCTGCACAAAAATTTATATAATATAATATAACTAAGCTAAAAAGAAGTAGAAAAAAACCAAATAACAAGCTTTTCAAAAAATTATATAGCAAACTTGACATGTTCATCAAAATAGAATTCAACTGAAAAAAAAAAAAAGAATCTAGAAAATAACATAATAAAAATAAATTATAAAATATAAAATTTAAAGTACTTATAAGATTGTCATTTGAAAAGTCTTGTCTTTCGTGCATTCTTTGAAGCAAATATGTCAATCAAATCTTCATAATTTACTTTGTTCAAAATTTCATTTTCAATTGCTACTAAAGCTAGACCGTTTAGCCTTTTTTGGGACATAGAACTACGCCAAGTAAGTCTTGAGCATCTTTAATTTTTAAAAACTTCTTTCAACTGTTGCAACAGTCATTAGGATGGTTAACAGTATCCTATAGTCAACAATTGCATTGGAAAAATAATCAACCGATTTAAAAAACTTTATAATATCTAGAGCATTAAATATTTTCTTAGGTAAATACTCTTGTACCAACTTCAACTCCATATATAAATCATATCCGTGAATATCACAAATATCACCATTTTTAAGTGTATTTTCCAAATTGGTACAACAATGATTTTGTTCTTTTGAAGTCTTAAACGCAACTCAAACCAAGTGACCATATTTTGAACGTGTTCTATACTAGTTTCATTTTCTTTAATTTTAACGCAAAGATGAGCCCAATCACTAAAACCATCATTTGCCAATAACCGTTTACCACAACCTTTCTTAAACAACTTACAACAAAAATAAAAAACTTGATATGAATATACAAGCCAATTTCTATAGCATTTTTTCTTATTTGGCAATACTCTAGTATAGAATGTGACAGAAAATTGTCTTCCAAATTCATCTTTAGTGCCTTATATAATAGATATATTTCTTTTAGGACCTTTTATTGCTAACATATTAGTCATTTCAAAATTTAAAGAATCTCAATTTCTTGGATAAAAAATATTAAACATAACATTAGAATCATTATAAAATCAGCAATACAATCATCAATGTCAATATTTTCAATTTCATTATTATTAACATTATCAGCAATATCAAAAATTTCAACCTCAACATCATCATCAATAAAATTTTCATTATTTTTAATATTTAAATTATTTTCGACATTCAACTATGATTCTTTGTAATAAATTTATTAATTGCTCCACTTTGAAATTGAATTAGTTCATAATTCTTTTTTCTTTTTGCGTTTTTCATATCCTGACTCATACTTTTTTTTTGAGGCATAATTTATTCTATTATTTGTAAATTGTAAAAAATAAGGAACAAAATAGAACCTGGATTGAAATCCTCTCCACCGGCGTTGGACAGAGCGCAGGGCGCAGGCAGCCGAATGCAATCCATAAACCATCCAACAATTTATCCAAAAAAATTGAATTAAAAAATAATAAAATTACTATATTAAAATTAATAGATGAGAGAATTAAAATTATTAAATTAATTCATACCAGAAAAAAAAAGACAAGGTGTGTCGCCTGTGTGTCTGTCTATCTATGTCGTTGAATCGAGGTAGAAAAGAAGAAAAAAAGTGAGGGGGATTGTCTTTCTGTCTATGTCGCTGAACCGAGGGAGAAAAGAAGAAGAGAGAGAAGGATTGTCTGTCTGTTTATGTCGCTGAACCAAGTGAGAAAAGAAGAAGAATGAGGGGATTTTAAATGCTGGCTAGTCGGATGGGAAAAAGTGAGAAGCAAGAGTGAGATTTTGAATGCGACGATTGAATTTGGAATTAGAGTTTAAAAAATAATTTTAAAATTATAATTAAATTAGATAATTACGAAGAAAAATAATATAATTTAAAATTTAAAATTTAATATTAAAATTTATTATATCTAATAATAATATATTAATATTTTAAAATATAGGCATTTTTTAAAATTGTGCCGAGCGATCGCTCTCTGTACTCCAGCTAATAGTCGCCCCTGAATAACCTATAGGGTATGTTTGACAATTATTTGTTAGCTGATAGTGTTAACTTATTTAATTAGATGCTATGACTAGTTGGATAGATTAATTGTTTATTTACAAGTGTTTAATAAAATAACTTTTTATTTATATATGTTTATTTATATATGAAATAATAATTTAAGATATTTTATAGTAATAAATGTTTTTAGAATCTTTATATATATTGTCTTAAATATTGATTAATTTATCTTATAAAATTTAAATCACTAAAGAACTAGTTAAATGATTTGTTTTTCAATCCAACATAGTAACATGTGTTGTGTCTCTATAATAATAAATTAAGTTCAAATAACTAGTGGAATAGTTCATACTATTCGATTCCACGTAACTTGAAAAACAAATCCAACTCCCATTAAATAGAATCGCATCGATTAGCTGTTGAGATATTTTAGATATTCAGTTTTAAATTGAGTAGATTTATATTTAGATTTGATCTTATTTAAAGATTAGATTACTTAGATTTGAGTCTATCGAATCTGTTTTGTTTTGCCTATATATATAGACTACTTATTTTGATGATCAATAAGAAAATTTCATTATTTTCCTTCAAAATTTTTAACATTACCTAGTACAAACTATATATTTATATACGTATATCCACATGTATATATATATATTAAATACGACAATCTACACGCGAACAACACCAACTTAATACGTATATATCATCATACCATATCATATAACATAATAAATGATACATATTTTATTAAGGCGCAGGCGCCACGTCGGCGTCCGGCGGTACACCGTTTCCGACGATCATGGCTCGCCGGAGCCGGTGGTATCCGTTTCGATAATGCTCGAGCGAGAAGTAGAGCTGCCGTATGGCCTCCCGCTTCTCCTCCGCCCCTTCCTTCAACATCCGCCGCTTCTTCTCCACCTCTCGCTCGAGCTCCCTCACCCTCGCCCGCAACGCGTTCTCCGACTTCCGCCCCCTCTCCCCCGCCGCTATCAGCTCCACGTGCAGCTGCCGCACGTGCTCGTTCATCCGATCGATCACATCGTCCCTATAGCTTAGCTCCGCGCCCAAATCGTCGTTCTCGGTGATCACGACGTCGCGCTCGAGTTGGAGCGCCACGACGTTTTTCGTGAGCTCCGTCATGCACTTATCCTTGCATGCCACCTCGGCGATTAACTGCTCGATTTCGATGGTGTTCCCGTTCTTTTGAGCATCGAATGATCGGCGACAATGAACCTCCAACTCCTTGACATGATCCTCGAGGAACATCTTCTCCTTCGACAACCTCCGCAGCTCTTGTTTGAGCCTCTCGTTTTCTCGAGACAAGCTTAAGTCGGCCTTCGAGATCGCCTCCTTTAGCCTTTTGATTTCGCGATCGCGCTCTTGGAGCGTCGTTTTGTACGTCGACACGCGCTCTTGAAGCTTCGTTGTGTCTTGCCGCTCTTTTGCGTGTTGGCTCTTCCAATAGGACGCCTCTTCTTCGTACGATTTTAGCCGATCTTCGATCTTCCTCGCGTGCAATACCTTGTCTCGAATCTTCTTCCGGAGGTCTCCGCTGGCGTCCTCGTCATCGGATGTATGGCTTTTGCTGATAGGATCAACAACTTCGGCCTCCGAATCATCCAAGCTCTCGTCGTTGTTCATGTAGTTCTTAATCGAGAAATCGTCCGATCCCGACTCGTAGTCGAGCGTCGGAAAGTCATCCCCGTCTCGATAATCCGAGCAATTCCCGCCGCCTCCACCGCCGAGGAAAAACTCGAACCCGGCGGCGCGGGGGCAGGTGCCGGACCTACGGCGTCCGAGGCGGCGGTCAGGGGAGGGCATGGTGGAGGGCGGCTCGGATCCGGCATCGGAGACGGCGGAGCTTTGGGATTGGAGATCGTAGATGGGCGTGGTGGCGCCACTGGTTTTGCGGAGGTCACCGGAATCGTAGCGCTCGGCCAATGTGCGGTACATGCGGTGGAATTCTTCGACGAGGCCGATCATCTCGGGGCGCTTTTGGTAGTACATTTCGGCCTTCTTGGCGAAGGAGTCGGCGTCCTCCTCGATCAGCTTCACCATGCGGTTCACGCGCAGGTCCATCTCTGAGATCAAGGCTTTCCCGGACAACGACTTCTTTGGCGGCGCCGGCGGCGGCGTGGCGGCCGCCTGAGTCTGACACGGCATGATCGATGGACGGATCAGGTTCGGAGGTTGTTGTCGAAGCCGGGAATTGTTCTTGCGTTTGGGCAGAGGAGAATGCTACTTACGTGGCCGCATTTCCAGGTTCGCCTCACAATTTCTCAGATTTTACCCCAACCTGACCATCTGACATTTAATTTGAATTGATACATTCTATGAGTCATATGTCATTTTCAACCTAATAATATTTAGGTTGAATAGCACAAAATCTACAGGCGTTTTTGTAAAATTGCGCAAAATTTTTTATATTTTTAAAATTGTGTCAAATTCACTCATAAATTATATATTTAACTCTCTCGACCGTATTTTTTTAATGATGTTGGACCTACACGCGCGAATTTCAAAATCTTTTTTTATAAACCATTGAAATTACAAAAATACTTATTATTTTTATTATTTAACCTTAAAAAATAGTAAATATACTAAAAAATAGTTATTTTTCTCTTGATTTTAAAAGTTCTTTTAATATTTTCTTAGGTTAAATATAAGAAAAATAAATATATTTATAATTTTAAAAGCTTAGAGATTAGTATTATGAAATTCATTAGCAGTTTGAGCACATGTATGTTAAACACCCTTAAATAAGGACAACCAAGGGGTTAGTAGCAGAGTTTATGAAACCACGAGGGAGTTTGAAACCGCTTTTAAAGTATTGGGGGTTTCACACAATTTTGTAAATCACATGTGAATTTTGTGCAATTTAACCTAATATTTAATTAATTAATAATAATTAATTGAAAACAAAAATCAATTTTAGTTTCAATATAATTAAAATATAGCAATTTTGGTTCCAATATAAAAAATTAATCAAGTTTAGTTTCGTTATAAACAATTTCAATCAATTTTGGTCACACCGTTAAAAAACTAATGGAAATTGCTGACATGAAAGTAATGGGGTTGATGTGGCAGCTGACCTGGAAACAACACGGCTATATATAATTATACACTGCCATATTTAATTCTACATGACAGTATCTTTATGTTTTAGTCTAAAATTTTATTTTATTATTATTCTATTTTTTTAAAAAAATAAATTTATAATAGTTGATATAGTTAAAATGGAAAAAATAAAGTAATAATAATATAATTAAAATCTATCAATTTTATTTCACATACTCACTCATTCCTATTGAAAGATTCCCATTTTTTATTTTCGTACCTACCAAAAGAAGGTTACCATTTTCTAATTTAGCAATTGTAGTACCTACTTAATATAATCAATACCCTTCCAATTTATAATATATTAAACAAATGTCATTATTTTTATATTACACAATATTGCGATATTTTTGACATTTTTACTACAATCCAATATAATATATTAAAAAAAATCTATGTGAAAAAGTAAACGCTACTATTTCAATGGGACGGAGGGAGTATAAAAATTTATCAAGTATCTTCATTTGAAAGATTTTGCCTAAAATTTTACTATTTATTAAAATTTTTTTCACTTACAAACATCCAATATCATAACTATTTTTTATATTATATCTTAAAAATTAATTTAAAATTCAAAATATCATGGACATAACGAGGTTGTCGTGGTAGCTGATATATAAACAACACGATCGTATACAATTATATATGTCTATGTTGAAATTGTTTGAGATTTGTATTGAAATATAAAATTAAGTTTTAATATAATATAAAAAAATAAAAAATAGTTGTGTAATTGGGTGTTTGTAAGGAAAAAAAAATGGTGAATAGTAGAATATTAGGCAAAATCTTCCAAAAGAACATACCCGATAAATGTTTATATTTGAACTAAATTTGATACATTTTAATTATATTATAATTATTATTGATTTGTTCCATTTTAACTATATCAACTATTTTAAATTCAATATATATTTAAAAAAATAATAAAAGAATAACATTTTAAACTAAAATAGAAACATATATGACCTTGTAGAATTAAACATGATAGTACAACAACATGACCCTGTACACTGAGTTATAAATTGGCGTGCGACAATATGGCACTTGTATAATTTTACATGGCCGTGTTGTTTCCATATTTGCTATCACGTCAACTCCCTTACATTCATCTATGACAACAATTTTCGTTAGTTTTTGAATTGTAAGACTAAAATAGATTGAAATTATTTATAATCGGATTAAAATTGATGAGTTTTTTTTTTTTTTTTTATAATGTGATAAAAAAATGATATATTTTGGTTATATTGGAACCAAAATTGATTTTTTCCTAATAAATTATAATATTATTATTTTTTTTATGTAATTAATAATATTTATAGTTTTAAAATAAATTTATTTATATAATTAAAAAATAGAATATATTTAAATATTGTAAAAATTATATCACAATAGAAAATACATATAATTTTATAAATAATAGAATTTATTAGAAAGCAAATAAATAAAAAATATGTTTATTTAATTATAATTAACATAAACTAATTTTATAAAAGAGGTGAATTTATAAATGTAAATAAAAATATTTGTTTTTTAGAAGAGATAGAAATAAAATAGTTTTGAATGAGTTGAGGTATGATATTATATGTTAAATAAATTAATTAAATTAATTTATATTTATTAAATATATTTTGATTTAATAAATTTTATTCAAAATAAAAAAATGTCAATAATTGTAAAAAACAAAAATACAAAAGAAATTAATTAATATTGGACGGAAGTGGTACTATAGTATTTAAAGTTTAAAATTTAATATTATTTCTTAATATATAATATCACATTAAAAAATAATGTTTTAAATAAAATATTATATCTAACCTATATTTACATTGCATTTGTCTCAAAATTTTATTGTATGTTGAAGAACACTCCACTAAAAATCAAATATTAGAGACTATCTAGCATAATAATGAATAGTGGGTGTGTTTGTTTTGTGTTTAGTTTGAAGAAAATTTTTTGACGGAGAATATAAAAAATTTGTATAAGTAATATAAAAATAATAAGTACATGTAAAATATTAAATTTTTTAAAGAAAATGTGTAGAAATTTTTTTTTAAAAAAAACAAACCAGTAATGTGTCGGAACTGATTGTTTGCATGCTCTCTGGATAACTAACCATTCCAAAACAATGTATGAAAATTTGGAAATCAAAAGCAGAATTAACACATCAAATTGTTTTCTTAATTCAGCTATAAACAGACCTCAGTCTCTGGGGTTTCAATTCGGCCATATCTACTACAATTAAGGTCAATACACGATTCAATACACATTAAGGTAAACTCCACATATGGCAAACAATAAAACTAAAATACAAGAGGATTTTCCCAATTACCTGCCGGATTAGTTTACAGGGTATTAGGTTCGGCTGGAGATTTACCCAATGCGCATTTTTGGGTAACCACTACGAATTCCCACGTTATAAAAAAAAAAAAAAAATTTCCCAACTAGTGCAAATGTAACCTTCCCTCGAGAAAAAATTACAAGGTTGCACTTTCTGATACTTATGTTCCTATTTCAGATAATTGCTTTAAATAAACTCCTCAACTGCGTTCTTTAGTCCTGTGTGGATCATATGCTGAAAGAATTCATTTAGATAAAATAAAATATAATTACTCTAATTTATATAATGAAATAGTTAATTAATATAATTATAAATAATATATTTTTAAAGATTGGAACAGGTCAGCAGCTGATCTATGCTCTTCTTAGTCTTCAAAGCGAGAAGTTCCCTTCCCTCCATTATAGCAATGATCCATTTGAAGATTAGATGACTTGTAATTAGGGTCGTTTCCGACATTTTGAGGATCCTGAGCAAAAATAATATATAGGCCCTATAAATATGTAATTAAATGAATTTTTAAAATAATATCATCGACAAATATAATAATCAATTTCATAAAAATAAAAATTATTTTAATTATATATTAATAAAAGCTCGTATGCACAAAGTGTATCATCAGTAAAATAATAATAATAATTTAACTATTATGAAGATAATAATCCAATAATAATAACAAACTCTAAATGTATCATTAATTACAGAATCCCAGCACAAAAATGTATATAATATTCTCTTTGTCCACACACAAGGTAAACATTTACTTTTGGCGCGGTGTTTAAGAAATAATAGTATTTTAATTATAGTGGGTAGTTAAAAGTAGTGTAATGACATTTTTGCACTTGTTTTTTGGTATAAAAGTAACGATGTGATGTAAAGTAAGAATATTTGTGGAAAAAAATGAGGTATTTAATAAAATGTTTACTTTGTAATTGGACGTCCTAAAATAGAAATATGTATACTTTCTAGCTGGACGGAGAGACTATAATATAACTAAGCTAAAAAGAAGCAAGAGCAAACCAAATTTAAATAAGCTTTCCAAAAAATTATATAGCAGACTTGACATGTTCATCAAAAGAGAATTTGACTGCACAAAAAAAAAAAAAAGAATTTAGAAAATAACATAATAAAAATAAATTATAAAATATAAAATTTAAAGTACTTACAAGATTGTCATTTGAAAAGTCTTGTCTTCGTGCATTCTTTGAAGCAAATCCTTCAATCAAATCTTCATAATTTACTTTGTCCAAAAATTCATTTTCAATTGCTACTAAAGCTGGACATCTTGGGACATAAAACTACACAAGTAAGTCTTGAGCAACTTTAATTTTGAAAAACTTCTTTCAGTTGTTGCACTGGTCACTGGGATGGTTAACAATATCATATAGGCAACAATTGCATTGGAAAACAATCAACAGATTTCAAAAAGTTTATAATATCTAGAGCATCAAATTATTTTCTTAGATAAACACTCTTGTAGTAACTTCAACTCCACGTATAAATCATATCCGTGAATATCACAAATATCGCCATTTTTATGTGCATTCTCAAAATTGGTACAACAAGACTTTAAGTTAATATCATCTAATAAACGCAATTTTTCAGAAAAAAAAAAAAAAATCAAACACATTTTCATATTGTTCAAACCTTCTATAAAGTGAAACAATTGCTTGATCAATGATGCAATTAAAGAAAATAATTTTGAAAGAAA